TCCTTCCTTCCTTCTTTCTTTCTTTCTTTCTTTCTTTCTTTCTTTCTTTCTTTCTTTCTTTCTTTCTTTCTCTTTCGATGTCAGCTAGCATTCACCTTTGCAACGGAAGGTCCTTTGTGCAGGGAAGGACACTTCTCCCAGTTACACCTGTTTCCTGTGCTCACTCCAGTTCATCTTTATCTTTTTTCTTCATAGTGCTGGGGATGGAACCCAGGGCCTCACACATGCTAGGCAAGTGTTTTACCACTGAGCCACACCCCAAGCCCAACTCCAGCTCATCTGGAGATGACCACACTTGGACCCCATCACAATCTTAGAAAAGTATATGTAGCCAAAACGTCTCAGTGAATGATGCAGAGTACCAGAGAAGGGTTTACTGGTCCTTTCTCTCCCTAATTTCTCTGCAACTGACAACCATTTCTTATGTCTTCCCCACTTCCCCCACTGCAGCCCCTGCCAATGTCTCCCTATTCCCTGTTACATTCCCAAACAATTCAGCCTTGGCTCTAAGTTCCATACTATACTGGGGACAACACCAAACACTTTAGCTGAGTTCCTTCTCCCTAGAACAGTGGTTCTCAGCGAGGTCCCAGGGCCAGCAGTATCCATATCCCTTGGAAATTTGTCATCAATGCACATTCTCAGTCCTAATGGATCAGACACTTGGGGGCTGAGGCCCAGAATCCATGCTTCAACACAGAGGTTGTGATGTGTGCTCATGTCTGAGACCACTGCCATAGAATTACTCTGGAGTCATTTATTGTTATTTAAGCCTGGTCCTTGAGGGTCTCATCCCATGTCCTGATAGGCTTTTGAAATGCTTCACCTAACACAAATGGGGAGTCTTCAGGGTGACATGGAAAGAATTCTGATGCTTGGAAAATAAGATTTTCTTCACCTTATTTCATCGATACAAATTTCATATCTATTCACTGTTTTGAGACAAAATCAAGGATGCTTTTTGGTTGGCCAAAGATTTGGCCTTTCCACTTGTTAGAGGTCCCTGTGCCTCCTTATTTGCACCCACCCATGTAGCTGTGAAGGAGGGATGTGGACCTGCTGCTTTCCACGGAGGTTCAAGGGCACGAACATATGGCCAGTGCTGGGGAGCCGTGTTGGCTGCTGCTCTGGATCACAGCAGGAGCAGGTGACCAGGTGACGTCTTTAGCAAGTGTCAGTGCTGTGCCTCCGGGGCAAGCAGGATGTTGGACCTTCTGGATGAGGCCCTGTCCCAGGCCCCTTGTCTACAAGACCCTGCCACTGCCCACATCCTCAAGGACAGGGATGGGGTTAGCAAGAGACCAGGGAGTGTGGAATCTGTCTCTGAACACGGGTCAGGGAGAGGATGATGAGACCAAGATTGAGCCAGACTTGCAGGCCTCAGGGTCCTGGGGGAGGGAACTTTGTGTGGGGAGCTAGCTTTCTGCTGGTGTGGCAGGTGGGGCCTGTCCTGTGTGGTGTCATTCAGTTGTAGAAAGGAAGTGGGACATTCTGTAGTCAGGGGCTGCTGAGGCCTGAGGTGTGTGGTATAATTAAAAGGTCAAAGCGTTTATTTTGTTAGACCTTTCTTTCTTTCTTTTAATTTTTTTTTTAGTTGTTGATGGACCTTTATTTAATTTATTTGCATGTGGTGCTGAGAATCAAACCCAGTGCCTCACACATGTTAGATAAGCGCTCTACCACCGAGCTCTAACCCCAGCCCCTTGTTAGACCTTTCCGAACAGAAGTTCGCACTTATATGTCCTAAGATTCCCTCACCTTTATGATAAAGTCAGAGGAAATATTAGGAACCTTGAAGGCGCATGGGTTAGGGAGAGAGACCTGGGGGCGTTGGGGTGCTGAGTAGCCAAGGGATCTTGGAGAACTCCTACAGAACAGGTCACCATGCCTTGCTCTCCGTAGCCAGTCCTTCTGATCATCTGCGAGAAAATGTGCCTGAAAAAATCACATCAATGGGTTGTTTCTTATTGTGCAATGTGCCCCCAATTGGTTTTTAAAAGCTCATATTTATTTCATGTATTTTGTTGGATAATTTCGGGTAGTTTGGCCTGCTTGGGTAAAACATATAGGGTCTGGGGCAAACGATACTGGGTTTGTGTCTCACTCCTGCCGCTTTCTAATTTCTGAGCCTCAGTTTCCTTCTCAGAGAAATGAGATGAATCCCATCCACACCGGATGGGACTGAGGGAGCAGGGAGATAGAGCACATGTTCATAAAGAGCCAGAGACAGTGCCTGGGACAAATCCAAGGCTTAGTAAATGTTCCTTCATCCGCCCCTTTTTCTTCCATAGTCTATTTCATATACAAATGAGTAAAAAAAAAAAAAATTGGACAAAACAATGCAAAGAGACAAAAGTCAACATTTATTTGTCCTGTGGTTGGTGCTAGCTGGTTTACATTTCAGTGCTGTGGACTTCATCTTGCCTTGATGTACCTGGGTCTGACCCCTCGCTGGGCTGAGGCGAGGTGTCCTTACACCAGAGGAGCTGCCTGCAGAGGTATCTCCTAAGTGTCCTGTTCCGAAACACACAGAGAAGAGGGGTGACGCAGCAGAGGGCGATGGCCGCGATCTCTGTGACCTGAACGCTCATGTCCAGTCGGTAGGTGCCCTTGCAGTCCTGGAGGGAGAAGTGTTCTTTGAAAGCAGACAGGAAAAGCACGATGTTGTAGGGTGCCCACATGAAAAGGAAGAGGGCGGTCAGGGCAAAAGGGAGCCTAGAAAGGTCCGGCGGACTCTCCCTGAGCCTCTGTCGGTTTCTCATTCGCACGTAGCAAAATACAAAAACGAGCAGCGGGAAAACCAGTACCAAAATGTTCATCTTCAGAGTCAGAAAATGCTTCCAGAAGGCCTCATGAGCTGGCAGAAAGTGGGATCTGCTCAAGGAGCACCACTGGTCTCCCTGGAATCCCACCTGAGGTTGATAAAGCACGTGTTCAGGCAAAGCGACCAGAGAGGCCACTACCCACGTCAGAACACTTGTAATCACAGTGCCCGGCGTCGTCCTGAAGGCTGGGGACAACCATCTCACGTGGAAAAACACTGCATACCTTTGCAGGATCAGGAGGGTGTTGAAAAGCGCCTCACTGAACACACCCACCGAGCGGAGTCCTGCGAAAACCCAGCACAGCGGCTCATCGGCGCTTCTCCTCTCCAGAGCAGTGTGAAACCAGAAGGGCAGGAAAAGCAAGAAGCACATCTTGGAAATGGCCAAGTTCAGAAAATAGGTTTTGTCCACGTATTTCAGTCCTTTATATTTGACCAGGACAAACACAAACAAGGCATTGCCCAGGAGACCGGCCACCAACAGGGTGCCGCTGAAAGGCAGCACCTGCTGGGCTGAGAGGACCTGGGCCGTGTATCTGTCACACGGTGGTGGTGGTTCCACCTCCACCACCTCGTGGTCGTTCTTCTTCGGATCATCGCTGATGAAGACGTCGTAGTCGTCTGGGGCTTCTGTGTAATTATCCATTTTCTGGATGTCCTGTGGATAAACAAGAGATTATTTCTCCTTCCTGTGGCTGTAATAATATTCCAGAAGAAACCACAACCAGAAATAGCACTCACAGAGCCACACGGTCCCCTGGCTTTATTCTAACTAAGAGTAGGTCTGCAACCCAGAAGGCTGAAATTAAACACTTTTTTTTTTTTTTAAACAGGTGCCCACCTCCCTTGGAGCAGCAGCGACTATATTCATCTGACTCTTAAGTACTTAGTGGTGTGCTAGGTGCCCCAGGGCATTAAAATAGGCATGACATCATCTTGGCTTAATTTCTTCTAGTTGCCACAAGGCTAGCCTACTTGGAAACAATATTTAAGAACACATACAATGAAAGAGAACCGAATACAGCAGCTTTGAATTGCAAAAAGTTTGCTCACCCTTGAAACAGCTTCCTGTGACAGGCGGAGATGTTTCCCTCTCGAGGGAGATAAACAAATGTTTGCAAAAGTGAAACCACGCGGAGCATCCCCGTGGGCAGAACTTATAGGACTTACCACTTGACTGAGTTCCTGCGGGGAGGGGCGCAGTCTCTTGATCCACCATCCAGGGAGCCGTGGGAATTCCTGGGGGAGCGGGAAGACGGCTTCCTTCTGAGCGAGCTGGTTGAGACCCTCAGGGACAAGAGGAGCCACTCACTGTTATTCCCTGGGTGGCTCTGCCCCTTCAGTCTCCGATCGCAGGGATCAGCTGAGTTCAGCAGCCAGTTGAACTCTGGACCCTCTCAGGAGCCTCTGAAAGGAACTGGGACGTTTTCTCCTCCCCTCTTCTCCTGGACCCCGCCTTTAATTTCCCCATGGCCTTGTAGACAGCGGTCCTTCTGCAGCCGTAGATAAGGGAACTAAGCTACTGCTGCTTTGAGTGATAGTTGGCGGCTGGCGTCACCCTGCTGAGAAGCACTGAGACCCCTCTGGCTTCTGACATTAGCGCTCTGAATAGGCGGCAGCTACCAGCGGAGAAGCATGTCTGTGGCCATCCGGAGTCCAGACCTGAGGGTTCTGACCCTCCCCAGGCCGCGTCCCCGCGTCAGTGCCGGGATGGGGAACCTGCCCCGAGAGCCCCCTTCCAGCAGGGTGTGTCTGGATCTTTGTGGCTATTTTCGAGAGGCACAGTGGGCTTTGGCAGAGGGTCTAAGAGGGAAAAATAGAAGCCACCGAGGGAAGTCAGCGGGGAAGGACAGGTTGGGGACAGAGTGGGGCAGAGATGGCATCAGTGTCTGTGAGTACAGGGCTGCCTGGGCAAAGATGTGGACGACAGCAAGGAGTGCTGCAGGTGCCCGGAAGTCCTCTGTGCTGCGGGGACATCTGGGGCAGCTGACCCTGTTCTGTGAAGAACCCAGAGCAGGGAAAACCCCAAATGAGGACATGGAGGGGACTTCAGGTCAGGTGGGAAAGAGCATGAGGAAAATGAGTGGAACCCCAAACTGAGGCTGGGGTGGAGAAAGGAGACGGAGCCGACACACAGATCTAGAGGTGGGAGGGGACAGGGGATGACGTGGAAGGCGAAGGCGGGTGAGCTCAGAAGAGGAACTTAAAAGAACTGAAAAAAAAATGTTGATGAACTTCTGTCGGGTCAATGACTCTTGGTACCTGGGATCCACCTAATTTGGAAATCAGTCCTACGTATCCGCCTGGCAGGGATGAATCTGGTACAGTGACCTCCTCTTTATCACTAAAGATGCATCTGAGGTAGCAAGGGATCCAGAAAGGGAACCTTCAAACTAGGAAGAGCAAGAGAAAGAGAAGCATAAAAAAGCCCCGATAGATGGGTGACGGGACATTAAGCTCCAAGCGTATACCAGTGGCCACAGCAGAAAGGGAGACATGGGTTGGGGCAGCGGGAACCCAGGCTGTGAGAGGACCCCAGTGAGCCCTCTCCTCTCCCCGGTGAGGGAGTGGGGTTACCAGGCCCTGGGAACCTCTGACCTCCTGCTGGTGATGGCTGCAGCTCCTCTCCCTCCTCCTGAGGTCTCACTGACTCTGCAGCCACACCAGAACACTAGAAGGCAGGTGGCTAGGTGAGGGTGGCTCAGTGGTCAGCCCCAGGCAGGGGAGGGAGAGCCAAGTCAGAATCGAAACTTGAGCAAGCCACCAGGATACACATGGCTCATTAGATGACGGACGGCTGGGGGGAGGGGAGAGGTGGTGGGGGGGGGGAAGAGCAGGTAGGCACATCATACACCACATGTCACCGAATCACATGAAATTTAAATTTTCCTCGATTTCTTTTTTCCACCCTAACTTCTCAATTAGCATGGCCTTCACTTTCAGTATGATTTGGTTTTGGCTTGATTCCCACCATTCTGACGAGTCACGCCCAGGCCATGAGATTCCTGAAGCTTCTTCTAAACTGGTAGGAAGGAGAAGCTTAGAGGTCTGAAGCTGAGGCACAAGGAAAGGTCCATTTACCATTCGACTGTCTGGACATTGCATTAGTCAGCGCTCTCTCTCACTGTGACAAAATACCTGAGATAATCTACTTTAAAGAGGGAAAAGTTGGCTCATGGATTCAGAGGCTTCAATCCATCTTCACTTGCCCCTGGTGACTTTGGGGCTGTGATGAGGTAGCTCATTGTGGTAGGAAAAACCAGGCTGAAATGGCTGCAAAGTGAAAAAGAGAGGCAGGAAGGGGCAGGGGTTCCCCTATTTCCTTCTAGAAGGTTCCACCTCTTAAAGGTTTCTCTACTTTGCCATAGAAACACAGGCTGGGCACCAAACCTTCCCCATGTGTGTGGGGGGTGCTCATCCAAAGCGTAGCAGCCGTCTTGGCTGATGAAACTCTAGCACATTCTGTGGCTTTGGCCTGTGGCTCACAGACCTTACCCTTGAAGGTCTGGGTTCCTCCTTATCACAGCCTTCCACCCCAGATTCAACCTAAGAAGCCATCCTGTCCTACTCTCGCTGCCCCCTACAACTTGAAAATCATCCCTTCACTCAACCAACATCGAAGAGGGTCTTACAGGGGTCAGCCTGTTCTCGGTGCCAGGGATACATCAGGGAGGAAAACAGCCCCCAATCCTGACCTTCACGGGGCATACGCTCAACAGACTAAAACCAAAGAAGCAGGTCGACGGTAGGTTGGTGGAAAAGCAGCTCTATGGGAAGAGGAAGTGAGGAAGGAGAATAGGAAGGGTGGTTTGGTCGTCCAAACAGCCTTGCTGAGAAGGTGGGCGCAGGACAGCCAGGTCCCATAGTTACGGTTTATGGCCTCAGCCTTTCTTGCTGCTGAGTTCTTGTATCAAGGGAAGCTGAAAACACATTCTGGGTGATAGTTTCAGAAATAATTTTATGGACGAGGTAGACAGGTTCTCTGTATCATATGGCAGGGTGACCAGCCACTCTAACAAGGTAGGTTCCTGCTCAGGAGGTGTGCCTGGGAGATAAAAAGTCTGAAATAATTAGTAAGAAATAGAGCCAGAGCCAGAAATTAGTTATAAAAAGGGGAGCGCTTGACGGGTCTTCAAGTCCTGATAGGAGGTGGAAGTGAACCACTGAAAAAGGGCCCCGAGTCTTTGTGGAAGGGGGAGTACGTCAAAGGCAGGATTAAGGTTGCAGCCGGAGGAGTCCTGGGTGCTCGCTTCTTGGTGTGGCAGGGGTCTGGCAGGAAGCAGGTCGATGGGCATTTTGGCAAGCCACACCCATCTCTGAGAGGCTGGGTCTCCCCATCTCCGATGCTGTGCTGAGCTTGTGATGGAGCGAGGTAGGACGCCACATGAACCGGGCATTCTCAAACCAGCTGGGTTGCTGTTGGGAGTTCCTGAAACCAGCCTTTCCTGCCTAATGGCTTCAACATTGTTTTAGTTCATGACAGTTCACTGATGGCTGCCTGCAAAAATCGCGTGGACCCTCACTGCACAAATAAACAAAAAGCCAAGGATACCGTACACAGTTGTCGAGGTTCTGCACTGCAGCTCCGTCTTGCCCTGTGATTCCAGAGCTGGGCCCCGTAAGCACATCTCCTTTGCTGGCTGGCCTACGAGGCGTAGGGAAGTTAGGGTAAGAGGCAGGGGTCTCAGTTTCTGGCTCCAGAATTTGTTTCTGTTTTGTTCTGTTTTTGTCCCTTGGGATGATTTGCCTGTGCTGTGTGGAGACCCCGTGGTGGTGGCCACCCTGTAGTGAATTTTGCAGACCTCACATGCTGAGAATTGGATGTAGTTGGAGGGTGTTTCCTGATGGTTCATGCATGGAAGCTCGGTCCCCAATTTGGTGCTCTTGAGTGTGGTGGAACTTTTAGGAGGTGCAAGTGAGCTGATATAAAAGAACAAGATTGGCCTCTCCCAGATTTCTGGCTTCCTGTCTAGCCATATGCTCTCTCTCTCTCCCTCACACTGGTGTCATAGCCTTGAACTGCCCAAACAATGAGCTAAATAAACCTCTTTTCTTCACAGAGTACCTAACCTTAGGTATTTTGTTATAACAACAGAAAACACTACAACAGGTGACTTCCTATTGAATTTTGGTGGCACCTAATGGGTAACTCCTACTGAGTTTTGCTTAGCCTCTGAAAACAGCTTTCTTGACAGAGACATGCTGAGGACCCAGAGTGTCCACTTTTCTGAAGAACCTAACTGGAACCCTTCAGGTGGTTTCCTGCTTACCAGCCGAATGAATTTTAGGATTTTTTCCTACTTGTGAGAAAAGTTACAGTGATATTTTGATAGGATTCAATTGCATTTAACCTGTAGATTACTTAGGGTAGTATAGGCAATTTAACATTATTAATTCTTCCAGTTAATAAACCTGAGATTTCTTTTCATTGATTTGCATCTTCTTTAATTTGTTTCATCAGTGTCCAGATCCTTTGCCTCATTGATTAAATTTATACCTAAGTATTTTATTTATTTTTTGATACTATTATAAATGGAATTAGTTTCTTAATTTCTTTTTTCAGATAATTTATTGTTGGTGAATAGAAATGCTACTGACTTTGACATGTTGATTCTGTAACCTGCCACTTGGTTTAATTTGTTAGTT